TGACTAGGAAGAATATTCGCACATACTTTTCAGTCTGGACTGCACATATTAATGTGATTTTTCCTTGTCTTCACAGTTACACTTCTGGCCTTGAGATCTCTTGCAGAGTTCAAGAAGAAAGCAGTGTGGACTAAAGCTTATGGCTGGTAGCTGTATGCAACATCTTACCATGTGAAGAAAACTTTGTATTTGAAAGCATAAGTTACTTTTCAGGCATCAAGAGGACTAATTCCAAAGTTGTTTCCTGTCAGAAGTTTTTTTGTTTGTTTGTTTTTGTATTATTATTATTATTATTATTATTTTAATCCTCTCTCCTCTCCCAAAGACTCATATGATGAAAAAAAATATATTGTTCACTAGTGGGGTCGTTCTCCTACGGATTGTCTGGCATGATTTGAGCTGTGCTGAATCTAAACAAGAAATAGGCATCCAGCTGTTTCATTAAGTTGTTTCAAGCAACACCTGGGAGCCTCAGAGGCTGGAGTGGTATGTTCCAAGCCTTGTGCAGCAAGTGGAAAAAAATAAAACATTATAAGAATTGTTTGGATGTGGCCTATTTACTGAAGTAAATAGTAATGCTTTTTACTAATCACATGATGTCCTTGTGCAGCAGTGGCACCGCAGGGAAGGTATGTAGGATACAGCTCCTGAAAAGGGTGTTACACATGTCAGTTTTGCAACAGTTTTATCATGAGTGTTGAAATAAGTCAGTGTCTGCTAGGACATGGGGAGCCCCCCAGCTCCGGGATTACTGCAATTTTCCTGCCACTAAACATTGTTCTTGTGTCCTTTGCACAACTTTGTATATGAGAAGAGCTTTACCCCTGCAGTCTGGGGAAGAGAGGTCTTAAAGGAGGAAAGTTGTGTTTAGCAATTGTCCTCACTAAACAAAAGGTAACTGACAATAACTGCATGCGTACTGGACTCTAATGTCTTGCAAAGCTCTACTGCAAGGAAGCATTATAGCCCTTTATCTGGGAGCCAACCCCTCTAAAGGAATTCTCTGAATTTCAGGGCCAGTAACATTTCTGTGCAGAAGAAATTTTCCACTAATTCGTCTTTGGCATTTCCCACCTAACAGTGTGAGCTGTAAGGAACAGCCATCGGCTTTTGATGCATTGTTTCAGCAATTGGATATGTGAAAAATTACCACAGTGCTTGTTTGCATTTCTGTAGTGGATGATAATGATAACTCCCTGTTCTGTAGGCCAGCAGTATGTGGAAAAGACAGTCTAAAGGTGAATGCACAGAAGGACTGAAGCCATTACACTCTTCAAATTAACCTCTAACAAAGCCAAATATTTTATAGGCTTTAGCTGCCATCTTTAGAGTGCTATAAAGTAACTTACAGTTCCACTCATCTTGAGTTTGTGTCTGCATTAGCATTCTACTTAAGAAGAAAAGTGTGGCCATTTAAGGGGAATCTGTGGGAAACGCTCATGTGCTGCATTACAGTTTACATAGTGGAACAGTACACAAGCTGCTAAATTGGAGTATATATATATATATATATATATATATATATATATATAGTGGAAATACTCCAACATAGTATACAACTGTGTGTTAACCCACAGAACTAAACAAAAGCTAATCAGAAATACAATCCTCTGACAGGCTGAGAAGTTCACTGTTGGGTGCTTGTAGCGTATCCTCTTATGTGGTGTTCCATTTCTGTTGGGCTGCTTTTCCTGGTAACATATGCATAGCCTGTGATGGAGACAGACTGTTACTCCAGTTGTGTGGTGGTGCTGAAGAAACGAGTATTATTTTTATTACTAGGTGATCTCTTTCAAAATAGAATGCTCCTCTGGAGAATGTGACTTTCAAGGACTGAGGCGGACAAGTTAATTGCTGCTGAGGTTTAGATGTGTGACGAGGCAGCAAAGGGAGCTGGAGCAGCCAATAGGTTGAGTTCTTGTGATTCCAGCACAGCTGTTCTATAGGCAAGCAAAAAGAGCATTGAACAGTGGCTTATAAAACTTAAAATGTTTCTTCAATTTTTACATACAAATCAATTTTCACATTTCATAGATATATTTATGAATTTAGTCTCACAGTAAGTTGTATAAAGACAGATTTTTTTTTAAATGTAAGACAAATGTAGATATGCTTCTGTTCCTGAAGTGAATGTTTATGTATCACTTTGTAGCGACATTCTTTCACCCCTGTGTATAGAGATGGCTCTTTGTTGTCTTCATATAGTTATGTAAGAAAAGTGCTTATTTTGTTCAAGGGTTGTCTTTCCCGGAGGTGGAAAGAAGCCAGGCAGTATTTGAGGCACTTTTTTTTTTGCCTGCCCAGTCCTGACCTTTCCAGAAATTACATAAGGTGGAGTTGAAGTTACAGTGTCCTACTGTGATCATACATCGAGGGCTTTCTTCCCTAAATCCCCCTCTTGTCTGCCCCAACTTACCTGTGTACCAGGAATGGAGGAAGTTTCCTGTAAGTAACTTCATATGCTGGAGTTCCTTCTCACAATGATTTCAAAGAATTGTTCTAAATTCCAGCCTTTTAGCCAGCTATTAGAATCAGTGCAATGGAAGCAGAATATGTATTTTTATATTAAAACAAGCAAACATGAATATCTTTGCTGGGTTTGAGCAGGCTGGTTGCTGGATGCTTACCCAGCCTCCTAACCAGAACAGGAAGAAAATCTCAGAGGTGGGCTGAGTTGAAGGCAGGGAAATTCACCATTTACCATCATGAGCAAAACAAACTTGAGTCAGGGGAAGATCAGTTTATTGCCAAATAAGCATGGTGTGGTTATAAACAAATACAAAAACATTCCCTCCTACATGCTCAACTTCAATTCTTAATTCCTGTCAAGGGGGATGGGAAAACAGGCATTGTGATAACACTTTGTCTTTTCTGCTGCTTTCTTCTCATACTGCACCCTGCCCTCGTGTGGGATCCCTCCTTCAGCATCTGCACTGGTGCAGGCCCTGCTCATGGACTGCAGTATTTCAAGAGCTGGTCCAGCATATGTCTTCACTGTGGAGTAGAGGCCATCTGGAAAAGGCTGCTCCAGCATTTCCCTGGCTTCTTCAGTGAGTCCACATCCACAGCTGCCGTCCTTCATTGCTGCACTTGGAGCTCTGCTCTGTGCCTGGAGCACCTCCTGCTGCACTGTCCTTGGCACCCACAGGGCTGCTTCTCACACATTTTTGCTCCTCTCCCTCACAGCTAGTATGCAGTGTTTCCAACATTTTCTCAGATAACGTTTCCGCAGAAGCACTACTCACAGTGTTAATAGGTTCACTGGTGTCCTGTGGTAGCTGCTTTTGAGTCGTCTCATACCAGCCCCCTGGCCATGTCACAGCTGTGGGCCTCTTCTCACAGAAGCCAAACACGCACCTTCCTTTGTGCGGCATAAACCCAATATAAGATGTCATGTTTCCTCCTACAGGGTCACTTAATAGTTGGAGGGGATCTTGAAGATTCTCCAGTTCCAGCCTCCTGTTGTGAGTAGGGCTGTGTCCCACCAGCCTGGGCTGCCCCATCCAGTTTTGCCTTGAGCACCCCCAGGGATGAAGAACCCACAGCTTCTCTGGGCAGCTGTGCCAGTGCCTCACCACCCTCTGAGTATTCTAAGAATTTCATTCTAACTAACACAAATCTATTCCCCTCTACTTTAAAGCCAGTCTCCCTTGTCCTATCCCTATCAGACTATGTAAAGAGTCTGTCTCCTCTTGCTTGTAAGCTCCCCAAGGTACTGGAAGGCTGCAATGACGTCTCCCCAGAGCCTATTCTCCAGGCTGAAAAAGCCCAGCTCCCTCAGCCTCTCTTCATAAGAGAAGTTCTTCCACCGTCTGACCGCCTTCACGGCCCTCCTCTGGACCCACTCCAACAGCTCCACATCCTTCCTGTACTATTAACTCTGGTTTTAGCTCAAATGTATTCGATTGAATCACTACGAGGGGAAATGTCTGTGTTGCACTTGGCATATTACAGTGTCATGCAGTTGTGAAGTGTTCCTGTTTCAGCTCTGTCCTTTGAAGTTGCCACCGGTTTTCAGCTGATTATCCTTTTCTTTATGCAGACTGTCTGCATTTGGAGTGGTTTGGGTCAGGCAGAAGTCCAAAGTGAAAGTACCTCTGTGTCTGTAACAACATCCAAATTACTAACTCTTGTTTGCACTGCTTTCAAAATACCCAGGCTCCCCATTAAACTACTGCATGTAGGATCCCATTGCTTAGGTGTGCATATATCCCAGTGGTCGCAACAGTCTGCAGGCACTGTCTGCCACGTATATTGAATAAAAATTACAGTAGGTCAAGACCAGTCTCACTTGTCTGCTACTTAAAACAGTTTGAACATCCTCTTAAGAGCATGGTTTAGAAAGCTGTACTAACAGCCTCTTTGTAATGCAATAATGTTAATTTCCCCTTTAACTCTTCCATCGTTTCCCCAATTTTCGCTCAAGCTCAAAAAAAAAAAAAAAGAGCCTCAGTTTTCTCCCTCAGCTCCATGAAGTAAAATGCAGGTGATAGGCAATATGGATGAAACATAAGAAACATCCCTATGCAGTTATTTCTGCAGCAAGTACAGTCTGTTTTCTCCTTTTTACAGGGTTTCCTGGGCTGCTATATGTTTGTGACTCCCAAATACAAAAGACTGTGCTCTGGTTGCTTCCTTACAAGTAGTCCAATAGAAGTAAAAGAGGCAGTGGACTGAAGTAAAACTGGTAGAATTTTGCACGAGGTTTTTTGATGGTCGTTACCTTCACACTATCAACTCACACTTCTAATGTGTTTGCTGTTCTGCATGGAAGAAAAATCACATCAATGATAAAGGTTCTCCCAGCACAGTGATACGTAGTACCCGGGTACCTGATCATCTGCCCTCACGGTTTACTTTGCTGGAATCTCTTTGGCAGAATGGGCCAGAAGGTCAGGGGTCTTTTGTGAATGTCTGAGGCAATCAGCACATAAATCTCATAGGATGCAAAGCTTCCAGCTTCAGCTCTTTGAGAAATTATAGCCAATTTATATATAGGAGGCACATACATGTTTGTTTAATACAATACATGAAGTGGTGGTGTTGTTACTGAATACCTGATGATGATAAGGCAAGAATTAACACCAAAATAAGGGCTGTTAGTGTAACTGTGGTGAAGGCACTCATCTACATTTTTTTTTCTGAGTGAGCCCTGAGTCCTCTTTTATTAGAAAAATACTCATTTTTAAAAATCCTGATATTTGACGTCAAAACTTTCAAAAGTAACAAGTTATTCCAAGCTGGTCCATTTTTGAGGAGCACTAGAGATGTTTCTTTTCTGAAGATTCAACACAGCTGGATAATGTGCACGCAAACAGGAGTTATGCATGGAAAATCTTTGTCTCTTCTTCTCTGCCTATGACACGTAGTAGCCCTCTAGGAATAAATTTCATATTTCAAAACGAAGTATCAGCTTAGTTTCTTTTCTTTTTGGAGTTGCCTGTCTCTAGGTGAGCCTTCCTTTCTGAGAAGAGGTTCCGGATGATAAAGCACATACCTGAATTAAAACACAAAATGGTGTAAGAACAAGGGAAGGTAGTCCAAAGCACCCTCAGTTCATGTAGGAGAAATAATACAAGCCTTTGTATGGCAACTCTGAACGGTCCCTTTCATGAACATAAAAACTGAATACTACATTATAATGATGAGACTCTTCCAATTAGCCTTAAAGCCAATAACAGAACAAAGGCTTAGCAGCAAGGTTAGTTGTAGTCCACATTTTTACAACAGCATATTGTTGTGAAGGAGAAAAAGCTCAGATTATATGCAATTTTTGGCTTTTTTTAAATCCCTCTGATGAATAAATAGGCCACACAAGTCTTAATATAAATGTGAGTATTCACACCAACTGGGAGTAATGAGTGAGGAAGCATAGCACAGAATATGGCCAAATAGGAACTAATTAACAAGAAAACTTCCAAAGTCTGTATAAGGCCAAGATAATTTAAGAACTTTATATATGTATTAAAAAATATATATATTATCTCTCCAACACACACACATTTCTTGCAAAATCAATTATTTGTGTATGAAAAACATCTGAATTCAAATCAGCTGTGCTTGAGCCATCCTGCAGTACTGTCCACGAGGTACTGCAAAGAAAGTTACAGTTTGTGAAAGGAGCTACGCTGATCTGATTGCAATTTTTAGTTGTCAAGGGCACTACAGCTGTGTTGAGACCTGGCATTCTGAAGGATGAGATACTTACCTGTAAACAGCACCAGCAGGTACATTTTCAGAACATAGGGGAAGTAGACTGAGAAGGCAAATGGAAATGGCAGCTTGATGGAGTATGTGCCAAAGGATTCAAAATAAGGCAGTGATACACAGATCGTAAATGCTGCAAAATAACATGGTAAGCCCTTGGTCAAAGGAAATAGAAGATCATCATAAAAAAGATTTATAGGGTACAGATAGCCACACTGTATGCTGAATTTGCCATGTCATTTATATGCACAGGTACACATTATTTTCTCCATGAGTTCAGTTTTGTAGGTCTGAGGTATTACTTTCTATAAACACAAGAATTAGGAGATTTTACTATTCATAAAAAATTCTGCCACTGCTGCAGTTGTGCTGCTGCCCATATGATCTCGGTGGGCACGTTTCCCAATGCAAGCGTGATAAGTGGCTAAGCATGGCTAAGCTGACAGTGTCAGCCTCAGTGGGAAAAAAAGCAGCACTGTTATTTTTAGGCTAATGCAGCCAGTCTGGAATCTGTGTGTTTTACCATACTCTTAAAAAAACAGAGAACTCCTAAAAAGAAAGAAGTCACAGAAAAGTGACACAAAGGTTAATTAGACTGTACAGAAACATTTATGTCTGCTTTGGCAACACAGAAATATCTTAGTAACGCAAATGACAATTGAACAGATTAAATTTTATTGGAGAAGATAAATGAATCTGTGGTTGGTCCCCCATCCCATCTCCTTACCTTTAGCCAGAACTGAAAGCGGGTAGAGCAGGATGCACAGTGAGAAGTTCAGCCATGTCAGTGGTAAGTAGTGTATGTCCATCCTTGCCAACATGTTGTAAGTGTACCTACAGCAAGAGGAAGAGGAGGTGACCTCAGATGGAATAAGCGTGTCTTTAAAGAAGCATTACTGAAAAATCTGAGGAGGTTGCAGAAGAGTGTAGAAGTATGCATCTGAGAATCTTCCAGAGCGTAACTTTAGAAATTTTGTTCATACTCTCATTCAGGTTGAAAAATGGAGAGTTCACAGTTTTCACAAGTGTTATTTGCAGTGCTAACCTGGAGCAGGCAGACAGCAAGACAGCTCTCCAGCCCAAAGTGCATGATTCCAACTCAGTGCATCAGACAGCAGATTTCAGATGGGCACATTACAAGGGAGGGGCAGGTGCAGCATGACTGCTGGTTGGTTAAGAAAATGCTTATGTATGTCCACTAGAATAGTTACAGCACTGCTAGAGACTGAACAGCCAGGCACACACAGGTATTCACTCTTCTGTAGTATGGCTGTCCCTCCTCTGGGCCTCAGAAGGGGTCATTGGTACCAAAAAAAAAAAAAGTAGTAGCACTCCAGTCTACTGCAGCATTTTGTTCTTAGTGTGGCTGCTGATGCTGATGCCTCCCACGAGGAGACCTGAACGCCTAGGACCTCAGTGTCCAAAAGTGAGCTAAAGATAGCAAGTTTCTGTGACCTATAACTAACAAATGGCTTTCTGGACAGTGCAGAAGCTTGTCCATTCATATTTCTGGCCATCTGAAAGGCTCTATGCCCTGTGGTAATGCTAGAGATATCTAAAAAAAGTAAACCACTGTAAGCCAGAACTGTTTCTGACGGATAAAGCCAGCATTAAACAAACCTCATACTTCTACTAATTAACCAATTTTGTATAATTCCTGGACTGTAGGAGACTGGAAGGCTAGAAATGTATCAGTTTCTCTCAAGCTTACCCTCTACAACTTCTCTCTTTTTAAAATTAGTGTTTCTAAGGCTTAACCTCAATCCAGTGGAAAAAGGAGACAGCAACTCCCTCTCTATATACCTTTCTGGACTGTCTATGACATAAGCAAGAAAGCTCAGACATGGAAAACTTTGCAGTATTTGCCATCAGTGTATCACTAGCCCTAATGCACAGGGATTTATGTCCCTAAAGAACTATGTGCTAGAGTTTAGTAATACTTCAAGACTCATATGCTGAGGGATGGAATAATGTCTAATGCTCCTCTGAACAGCTAGACCACAGCACAGGTGCTGTAAAGTAAACCAGTTAAGATGTCTGAGTCAGCAGGAGTTATTTTATGCATTCATGTTTTAATTGTACACTTGCTGCTTCCAACCACTACATCCTACCTACCTATTAAAGAGCCACTGTTACTGACATGAAGTTGGATTCTGTTTGTCAACAATAATGTAAAATCATCATGTATTTACAGAACTATCATGCATCAACAGGACTGTATAGCCAATATTATTTACACTTTTGACCTCTCCCTGGCTGTGCAGAATGTTTTCATTTGAAATTAAGTTCTACTCTGTCAGCTTTACTAAATTCAAAAATAAATGGAGTGATGATCCAAACAAGACAAGTGGTTTATTAACCCGTGTGGTACAAACAGATTTTAATTCAGCTTCAGACTTTCTTATCAATCCTACCAGCCAGTTTCCTTTTCCAGGACTCTTGTAATAAGCATTTCTTCTGTTGCTTAAATACGTACTCCCCAGTCAGTCCTCAAAACAGTGCATTCAAAATAGCAGAGGACTATTTTAGATGGATAGGCAGTGTGTAACCCATAAAGAAATCAGCTCCTGTTGGGAGGTTATCATGAGGGCTTTGCCTTGTTTGAACGCTTGACTCCATCTGCTCTCCTTGCTGTAAGTCTACCAACTGAGGCTCACAGAGGCTTAAGTAACATTTGAAAAATGTTACTGACTGCAGATATCAAAGCAAAAATCAGCAAGATGGAATTTGCACTGTTATATTCCACCACGGTCACCACACAGATCTTCTGAGATATAAATACTAAACTGTGTTGTGTCCTTTTTGTCTCTTCTGAGTTCTTCCTATGTGTGTAACTACACCAAAATTCTTGCTCTCTGCAGCAGGAGCTCCTTGGCTTTCCATATAAAGCACAGTGCAATTAAGTGTAGAATAACTTTTCAATCTCAAGAATAAGTTCTGCAGGTGCTGCCTTGCTGTGCCAACTGTCTTTGGATCAACATGACATATTAAAACAAATAGCTGTGCTTTTAAATACTAAAACAATGGGATTGTAAATCACACTGGGAAACTGCCACTCCTCTGTACATTGCTAGGATTTTCTTCATTCTTTTTGTTAATAAAGTCCAATCCTTTGAACCAGAAATGTTAATGCAGTGATTTGCTTCTGTAAATTACTCTGTCTCCCAGATATGCCAATTATTATGAAAATTAGTAAGCAGCTTATCAAGTCTAAGCTTTTATTTAAAATTGAAAAAAACTTTTTTCTGTCAATTTCAATATAGTAAGAAGAACAAACCACTTTCCCTTCACAGTTTCACCACTGACTTCTTACCTGACCACATCTAATAAATTCCAAAGGAAAAATAAAACACACACAATGTATTTCCCTTGAACTTCTTCCTGACTGTTGATCACGACAAACAACACAATTATTCTCTCAGTGATCTGAAAGGAAAAAAAAAGAACTGTGAACTCAGGCTAGCATGTTCAATATCTCTCGTTTCTATGCTGTTTTAGCAAAACAGTATGCTAGACAGCAGTAATGTCACATTCCCAGCTCTGCTTTTCATAGCTTGGAGATCTGAATCTTGAAGGATCTCTCTCATGGGAGATTTGCAAAAATTAGGAAGAAAAGTTAAATTACTTGGTTTTCTTCCTTTCTTATTCCTGGATAGAAGAAATGGCTTTTACCTCATCATTTATATCGATTGTTGCCATAACATTTATGTCATAACACCATTTTCCTAATGGCTGACCCTTAGATGATCCAAAAGGTATTCCTTTACAAATGAAAAGATAGAATAAAAAAATATTTAAAAAAATAGATTGAACAGGCAGTGCTCCAGCTTAAAATGTACTGTAGCAATATTACAGCTCAATATATAATAATTTAAAAATAAGTGTGGGTTATTTTTTTTTCAAGTAGAAGAAGTGGAATATTGAATGGGATTGTGGGCTGCGGAGAATAAATAGAACAGAAACTGAGTTAAAAGGATTTTGGTGAAGAATGGTAACGGAGGACAGTGCTGGTCCTGGGGGCAGTTTGTTACAGACCCTAGAATCAGACTGCGCTGTGGAGAGAGAATTCTGCAATTCTGTTAGTGTGAAAGATACTTCAAGGAATTGCCACAAGGAAGTGTGTCACCTGGAAACAAAAGCTTTATCACAGTAATGAAAAGTTCAACATATCTTTCTCTGTGAGAACTGAAGCAAGGAGAAGGACACAGTGCTACCTGAGAAAGAGGCACTTCCAGGAAATGTCACTCGGTGTGAGCCTAGGCACACATATCTGGAATTGTGTAAATACACGTGTGCACGCACTCATGAATGTATGTACCTAGGTTTACAGACATATACAAACTACTAAGATGCAGTTCACTTGTATAGATCATCTGTCTCTTGCACAAATGAAATTACATCCTTCTCTGTCACTACTCCCTTAAAAAAAAAAAAAGTAGCAAAACCAGAAGTCCAGTGTTTTCATGTTCAGAAAAGGGAAGTATGTGCTAACACATCACAAAGCGTAAGTAAAACGGTTTCATTTTTAATTCCTTCTTGATCTTTGTGTTAAACTGGAGTTTCCTTCCTGTCCCAGCACTGGTCTCTCACAGGATACAGTGAGTGCCATATAAGAGGGTAAATTTCCACAAGGCAGCCTGGGCATTTAAATAAGTAAGTGAAACAGAACAGATCAGACTAGCTGAGGCTTGCACAGGAGCAGACTGCACATTCACTTCCATTTACTAATAACAGTGACTATGCAGTATCATTAGCACCTGAGAAACAGCAGTCTTTCCCTACATCTCTTGCTGAAGTGTCAGTGCCATCTGTTTTTACTCCCTGAACAGAAGAATATTAAATTTCACTGCTTTGGCAACTGCAGTGACACATGATACCCTGTCTCCTGGCCTCTTCTCAGTCACCCAGTCTGCAAATGCCATGAGGGACATTCATTTGCACCAGCTTTGTGCCCCTCCCTCCACTTCTCTTTCCCAAGAGCACCCATTACATGAGAACTGTCCTTGTGTTGCAGTGTGGCTTGGCCTTGACCTACCTAATTCTTCTCACAATTCTGACAGTCTGAAACTGTCCCTCAATGAGGCTGTCCCAAATTGGTTTTCCTGAAAACACCCAAGCTTGCTTTTGCACTGTCTGTAATGTGTATCTCAACGTGTACCCTGCAAATTCTTCATTCAAACTCCACTAAAAGCTTATTTCTGCAATAGAGTCAGCAGAAAAATCAGCTGTCACAGGGGTGCATTTGCAGCTGGTTTTATTGAAGGTGATTTACCTCCGTCCACGTGCTCCCACAGCACTGCCATTACCACCTGTTCTCATCTCTGAGACTAACTTAACTGTGGATGTGCATAAACATGCACCCCCAGGGATGCATCTAAGGATGTTGTTTACTTACAGTCAGAACAAGCAGTGGAAAAAAAGAACTGCCACAACCACTACCAAATTATTGCAGCCTTACTGTGCACTATTGGCAGTAGCCCAGCAGGCTGTGGTAGGATAAGCCTCTCTACCATTTTTTTCCAGTGCATTATGGAAAATATGTCCCAAGATGCAGAGGAAGGCATGGCAAAGCACAAAGGATTAATGTAAGCACACAGATGCTTAAGCTGTACCGTCACAACAAAAACAGACCAACACAAATGAAAACAGAGCCTGTATTCAGAAGTCTGTGCACCTTATCTGGATAGCATGAAAGTGATGCTAACATCAAGATAAGACAGTTTTTTTGATGGGGAAACAGCCAAGTAAAGATCCACATCTATCTTTGCCATAGGGCAAATGCTGAGAGTCACAGTGCCAAACCCTTCTCTGACTCACCCTGTTAATGCTGCCCTGGATAATACTGCACTAATTGCAGTACACAAGAAAGATCACTGTTTTCTTGCTTACAGTTCACATCTGCTGTCTTCTGTGCTGGTTCACAGAAGTGCATGTGCAGGCTTCCCTGATCTCTGCTTCCGTAGGAATGGGTGTGAAAAGAACAGACCATGTCAGGGTTGGGGAGTGTGTAAACTCTCCAAAGGAAGACCTCACTCTAATGCCAGGCAGGCTTACTGGACTGCTCTTGTCTCCAAGAAATGACATAAGATTTGTTAAAGGATTATATGTATATGAGATTGGGTGCTTTTCAAAAAATAAAATAAAATAAAATAAAAATCCTGATTAGTGTACGAATGTATGGATTTAAGCAGGGAGAAAAAGCAGTTAATTGTTTTTGGCAGATTTGATACCATACTGCATGAGCAGCATGAAGAACAGAGATCTCTACTGTCAGTCCATCTCTAATGGAGATTTTAAAAGAGGAACATCTTCACCCTTGTAATATGTCACTTGGCAAAAATGGACTATTTAGAAAACTAAAAACACAACTAACTTACTCTTAGTCTTCTACCTTCTGACTGCAGAGAGCTACACTAGTTTCACCATTATTCAAATGTTAAAGATTAGAAAGGTTTGAAGGTAAATTCAAGTCAACAGTTTTACTTATTCTGATGCATTAAAAAAAAAAAAAAAAATTCCAAAACCTAGTTGAACTCCCAACAGAAAGCAAGACCACAGTATAAAAAACACCAGCAAACCACAGAATTACAGGGGCTGGAAGGGACCTCAAGATATCATAATGCTCAACCCCCCTGCTAAACCACAATAGATCGCACAGGTAGGCATCCAGACCTTTCAGAGTAGCATGGCTAGTTCAGAATTACATAAGTTGTAGAATACAGCTAAGGACATACCTGCAAAAACCTGGGGAAGAGACGGCTTTTATCAATGCCAATGAGGATGTGTAGGATCTCCAGTATAGACAACAACTGACAAAGGCGCATCACAAGACCTATGGAGTAAAATGTGTCGGCCAATGAATCTACAGGAAAAATAAAGAAGAAAATTGGAATTGGTTACAAAGCAAAAGTCCAGACCAACTGCTGAGTTTGATTCTGCCTGTTGCACCTGGAAATGACAAGAAATAGAATTCATATGGTACCAAAATTTCAGGTAGCAGAAGCAGAGATTTAGGGAGGGAAAAAGGCAGCCTGCTGTGTCTGCAGATTATAGAATCACAGAATCACAAGGTTGGAAAGGATCTACAAGATCATCTAGTCCAACTGTCTTCCCATCACCAATGCTACCACAAGCACTAAACCATATCACGCAGCACGTCATCCAGGCGCCTCTTGAACACTGCCAGGGACGGCGACTCCACCACCTCCCTGGGCAGCCATTCCAGTGCCTGACCACTCTCTGAGAGAAAAAGTTCTTCCTCATGTCTAACCTAAACCTCCTCTGGTACAAATTGTGGTCATTTCCTCAGGTCCTGTTTGTTGCCTGGGAGAAGAGGCCAAATCCCTTCTCATCACAGCCTCCCTTCAGGAAGTTGTAGAGTGCAATGAGGTCTCCCCTGAGCCTCCTCTTCTCCAGACTGAACAATCCCAGCTCCCTCAGCTGCTCCTCATAAGATTTGTGCTCCTCCCTCACCAGTTGTTGCCCTTCTCTGGACACGCTCCAGGGCCTCAATGTCTTTCTTGTAGTGAGGAGCCCAAAACTGAACACAGTACTCGAGGTGCAGCCTCACCAGTGCTGAGTAGAGGTGGATGATCACCTCCCTGCTCCTGCTGGCCACACTATTTCTAATGCAGGCCAGGATGCTGTTGGCCCTCTTGGCCACCTGGGCACACTGTCGGCTCATGTTCAGCCGAGCATCAACCAACACCCCCAGGTCCCTTTCCTCTTCACAGTCATCCAGCCACTCAGCCCCAAGCCTGTAACATGCATGCGGTTGTTGTGGCCAAAGTGCAGGACCCCGCACGTGGCCTTGTTGAACCTCATCCCATTTGTCCTAGCCCAGCAATCCAGCCTATCCAGATTCCTCTGAAGGGCCTCCCTACCCTCAGGCAGATCTCACACAGAGGCAGGAAGCAGAGAAAAGAATGGGAGTGTCTATATTTGATGCACTGGCAGACACTGCACAGGATATGTTGGTTTACAGATATCCCTTTAGGATATTTCCAAACATGAAGAAGCATAAGATATGAGGAGATGCTGAAGTTCCTGCCTGTATCTGTACCTCTGTACCCATGATACCTCCTATATCAGCTAGACCACAAAATATGTGTTATGTATCCCCAACTGCCACCTCTAAACTATTTTGAATTTCCAGTCATTTGTTTTCTATTTCTGTGCATTAACTTCAGACAACTGAAACTGAAAGAAAAATATGCTGTGAAGTTTTGGGAGATGCAAAGTTGTGTGCAGTAATTACAAACATCTTCCCTCCCAGTGGCTTCAATAGGACTGATACCATAATGACTTGACGTACACCCATGTAGGTCTGAGTCTAAATCAAATGTTGCTGGCACAGTACTGAATATTAAAAAGCTCAATTTTTGCTGCAGTATACAAGTAAATTGTTCATCCTTTTTAATGAAAAGAAGCAATGTTTTTCTTAATTAAAATTACAACCCATGGTATTGGACAGAGCTATGTATGTCTACATTTTGTTAAGTTTCTCTACACCACCGCCTCCTAAAATGTTTAAGGGAAACACAGAACGAAACCTACCTTTTCCAAACGACATGTACCTGATGATCATATTTGTAAATATCCAGGAATGCCCACAGAATTGCATCAGGTCATACACAAAGAGGTAGGTCTTCACGATAAAGCTGTGGAGGTGAAAATGTTAAAGCAAACTGTATTCTTTAAATACAACTCCAAAAATAATGCCTTCCACTGAATTCCATGGAAATTACAACAGATGCAAAGAGCACAATAACACTATTTGATGGAGCAAATTCTCAGCTGTGTCATTCTGCACACTTTCAAGTTACATTTAATAAATTGAATCGTCTGTTGAAGCCAACAGATTTTTATAGCTATTCTGATTTTAATAAATAATCATAGAATCACGGAACGTCAGGGATTGGAAGGGATCTTGAAAGATCACCTACTCCAAATAATCTGATTGCAGAATGCTATAGGTTCTGGAGATATTTAATTTCAATTCCCATAAATACATTTTCTTATCACTTATTCTGTAGAGGATGATCGTCTGTCCTCCAGCTACAAAAAGGGCTATCTTTTTTGAAAATGAATGTATTAATTTTTTTATAAGAGTTCATCTAACTAATTGATTCTCTGTCCCAGTAATTACTAAGATCTCTTGCCCTTTGTGCCCATGTGTTTGTGTTATCGTGAAATGTCTGCCACCAAACCTTTTTTCCTTTATGTCCACACATAAGCAAAGTGAATTTCTGTGCTTTGGAATATATGAACATTATAAGTGAATATAATTCATTCCCAACATTGAAGTAAGGTTACTACAATAATAAGTTAGCAAGATAATAAATAGCAATCACAATAAATAATAAGAATATGGATGGTTGTGCTGTTTGGTTGGTGGTTTGTTGTTGTTTTTTTGCAAACTGACTTAGGTAATCTGACTTAGATTTTTAATCGAAGTATGTCCTACGGTTATCATAGTAAATGCCTTTCTTCCTCTCTTCCTGATACACGGGATGGCTGTTATTCCAATAATTACTTCTACAAGCACAAAAGGATTTGTTGGCACAGTTTGCCTCCAAAGATACATCAGTGCACACTGATACTATCAAAGTAGGACACTTGAACACAAGACAAGAGACAATCCATAAACTTTTATTTTGGGAAAACTATGATACAGCTGAATTAGACTGAAATCCAGTAAGACCAAATGACCTAAAATTCCACCTGCTTTCTTGCTGGATGGCACATTTCTTTCTTCTTATGGTAAAAAAGAAACAAACACCCAACCAAAAAAAACACAAACAAGTGGGACACTGTACATGGCAAAAAGATAAAAAAAAATATCGTTGGGATTTATTGCCTTATTACTGCAGCCTGTAATGTAGGAAAGTTATAGGAATCATCATAAAAATCCTAAGGCTTTCCAGACAGTGCCTCCGCCACTCTGTTTGGCCCCATACTGCCATGTGAGCTTTGCATTGAGTGCACGGTCTCTCTCTTCTGGAGAAGAGCTTATCACATCTGCTAAATCTATCTCTTTTCCTCAGAACATGTCTTTCAGTGGCTTTTACTTTCTGAATTCTTCCTACATCCACTGGCTAGATGTTATCGTATTAGCAATTCTTAAACAGCCTAATCTTAGCTAAGCAGTGTAACCAAGGTGTTTGTAACTGCAGCTTCATGCTAGCATTTAGTCGTTATGGCACCCATTCTATGTTAAACTCATGATCTTTTAAATGTACATGCTGTTGTTATAGAGAGCCCCATTATTGCCCATGAAGCATAGAGATGTGTGGGCAGGCACCGTGGAATTTTGTTACCTGGAAGACCGATCTCTCATGTGTTGGTGTTCTTTGAGTGAAGGAGTGCTCCTGATCTCAAAATGGGGTTTCATCCCACTGTGTTAATACTTACACAAAAGGTACCAAGACCAAAGAGATGACTTTGGCAGATGCAAATAAATCTGCAAAGTATAAAAGGTGGTATCAGTGCAATCACAGGAAATGGAAGTGCAGTTGTTCCCTATAATCTTCCTCATCTCCAGGGTGTTAAGGCCAGACCCTTCTCCTAGGTAGTCAGGAGCAGATTGCTAGGAGCACCCTAGCAGGAAAAGCATAGACCAGCAAGTCCAGCAACTTCCTGTGGACAGCAGTTCAGTTTAGGCTCACTGATCTTGCCAATCTCATTCTGCCTCCTCAGTGCCTGGTTTGAGAAATGGAGTTTCTGCTGCCTCTGTTGTCTGTAGTGTGGTGCACTTCAGTGCTTCCGGAGTGCTTTTAATGTTTCTCAGACTGAAAGCATTGCACATCACAGTGCTCTGGTAACAGGTGAAAGAAAAAGACATGGGACTTGCAGTAAAGAGATACAGAAGGTCAATACGCTGTCTGTTGTTTGGGTTTTCAATTCCACATTACCTACTGTGGCTGATTTTATAACACATACACTGAAATGCTAGCAACCAACACTGTCTTGCATAGTGGCAGTGCTCACCTTACTCTCTCTGGCTCTGAGCTGGAAACCTAGAACCCTTAGATGAAACACAGGGCCATTCTGATCTTATACAGGCAAGATGTTCTGAAGCTTCTTTTCCTCCCTGCCGTTCAGCAGCAGAACCACGTCAGCGTGGCTGGGCAGAGGGTCAGCCTGCACCTTGTTCGGTGGCTGTGCCAAATGAGGCCTCCCCCAGGGGTCCACCCTTCCCAGCCAGGGCCTACGTGGGCCGGGTGCTTCCCCGCCACGGCAGCAACTGCACTCCCAGCTGCCTTCCCTGAGCCCAGACTGGCTCGTTGCACATGACAAAGCAGCCCTTGCCCTGAAACCAGGCAGCAATGTTACTTTAGATTTATTTAATTCTCTAGAAAAGGTCTGCTAGAAAAGCCCCTTCACTGACACGGTTTCCTTCTAAGTCACCCTGGTCTGAACTTCTGCCCCTTCCCCCTCCCACCGTGAGGGAAGCTGCAAGTGCTGCAGCTCAGGAAGGAGAGCTGCTGAGACCCTGCAGAAAGACGTGCTTTTCTCTCACAGGCACATCCCACACTGCTTTGTTTCCCCTTCCTTTTCCTGACGAGCAGCCTAGGTCATCCCTGCACACGGGACATTACCTGTTGCGGGGGTCAGACTGCTGCAACTGCTCCTGATCTTCCTCCTTTTTTCTCTTCACAGCTGCAGCAGCTGTTTGCTGGGATATCACCCCTCCTCTTTCCTCTTCCCCCACCCACAACGTCATTCTTTTGTAGCACTAAGCAGGAACAGTACTGCACTTCCGAGAAGGGAGTTTCTAACCTCAAATGTCTCCACACTGCCAGCCATGCTCCTCACACAGCCTAGCCCACCCTACTCTCACCTGGACCAGCTTAGCCCAGCCTATCTTAACCTAACTTAGCCTACTCTACCCTACCCAAGCCTAACCTAACCTTGCCTAGCTACTTCAGCCTAGCCAAGTCTAACTTGATCTAAATCTAATTTGGTTTCTTGCCTGCACCAATAAGTTACTCTGTAAATCCCACTAACTTTGTCTTCCAAGACAGAGCAATATTTTGAGTGATCACTCAAACGCAACTTTTTTTTTTTCTCTTCTGGTTAGATAATCAGTGCTACAACAACGCTAACAGGGAAGGCTGGCAGCATAGCATAAAGAGGGCACTTTACTTCAGACAGAGGAAATAATTTTCCATTTCTTGCCCAGAAGTATCTATTAATTCATGCTCCTGTGAAATATGGACGCTACTGACAGGGGAAATGCGTATGAACAAGATTCCTGCTGCCCTTAAGTCTTCTGAAATCTCAATATAAATTAGATGAAAATCATCAACAGTTATTATTATAATATATAAACTGCCTTCCGGCAATCAATATTTTCCCACTAGCACTCACGTTGAAGCATATCCCACCTCACAGGAGGTTTAAAATTTAGTACTGTGAAAAAGTCACCGAGGACATAACATAGTAGGATTTCATGCAAAAGTCCAAGAAGTCTGGGGGATGCTGTCCCATGCTTTGTCTGCAAGCAGTGTGGAGCAACCACCTCCATCCTGCCATGTCCCACAGAGGGAAGAAATCCCTCCCTCCGTGGCAACGAGCTGATATCTCTTGGGGGGATTCTGTTTTCTCTGTTTTCCCTGGCTGTGTCTCCCCCGTGGTACCTCCATGGTAGGGTCACACAGGCATGCAGAGCTCTCCTGCTGGTGTGGTACTCTCTTCTACGTTTTTTCTTGGCTAAGTATTCCTTTCTTAGGAGAAAATAATAGATCAGAATTAAACAGATGTTTAAGAAAATAAGTTAAACAGACGCTTATTGAAATGCTCTGCCTCAACAGAGCATTTTGCAAGCTTTTGCAACACAGCTCCTGCGCTGTGTGCCTCTGGGAAGTCAACTGATGTAACTAACCCTGTCAGCAGCTGAGATCATGACTGTAATAAGATCCAGCAGCTGGCAGAGAAGCAATTTTCAAATACCAGGACAACGTGTAAAAGCAACAAAGGCTCATCCAGCTTCATGATTTGCAAAATCCATTGTGAATAAGTGCCAAGTTAGTACTCCTATGGAAAACATGAGAACCCACAGTTCCTGATAGATGTGGTCTTCATGCCCTCCCTCAGCACCAGTGTCAGTCACCAACAGCAGAAACCGGCAGGAGGCATTTCAAGGAAAAAAGTCCCACCCCATCTGCTTGGCTTTCGTCATCTGTAACCAGCCTTTTGTGTTTGCCTCCTTTCAGGATGGTCCTTCTCTACTGTAGGCAATGGGTATTTTAGAAAAAGCAGGCTTTTTCTAAATGTCATGACTTTTCTTCACCACTGTCCTGCAGCTGGAGTGGAGCACAAGGAAGGAAAAGAGGGGCCAGAGACAGCCTTCTGGTAGCTCATACCCAGATCTCCCAAAGTTATGTGGAGGACACATGACACCATTACTCTCTTGTTCCTTCCTTGGAGTCTTTCATGGGAGCAGGTGATCTGCCCTCTAGATTAACCCTGACACTCAAAACCTGCCCTACAGCTTGATAAAAATAGATTGATTTGGGTATTCACTATTTTCACTGATCTGTCAGACTATATGCTACTATCCTAAACGGAGGTAATCAGTAGAAGACTTTCAACTATGCTTTCAGCATAGGAGAAACATGCAAAACACGTTTCTGTAACTCAGCGCTATTCTTTTGCAAGGGCTCTCATCAGGCCTCCTGACTCCCTAGCAGTCACTTTTCAGCAGACGGGTTTTGCAGAGGGAGGCAATGAAAGGATCAACTGAGTATCAAAGACCTACCAAGCTCTGCAGTGAGTCATGAGTCTCTGTGCTCCAGCTCACTGCCCCCCAGTTTTACTGGGATGAGACCAACAGACCCGTCAAATCATCAGGAAGAATTAATGCTCAGGGAAATTCCCTTTATTTGGCTTTAGCTATTACTAAGTCACTTACTACAGAAGCTGTGTAATAGTTTTCAACACTTTCAGGAGACTGTTGCCCTGCTATGGGGAACTCAGAAGGAATGGGAAATGTACTGGTGACCAAATCCTTTCTGAATACACTCAATAGCTGTGACAGGCTTTGAACCTTGCCCAAAGGCAAACAGCATGAGTTCAGCAGCAGAAATTTTTTAGTTTTAACTATCAAAAATTATAATCCCAAGTAAAGATCTACAACAGCCAATATGAGCTCTACACAAAAAGTGAAGACCAGAACTGAATCCATCTCTAAGTCGAGGAGATCTGAACAGAAAGCATATTAATTTATTAATGAAAGAGCAGCACTTTCATAAATATTCAAAGCAAAACAGGGTTGTGTGGGTTTTGTTTGTTTGTCTTTTTTGGGTTTTTTTTTATGAGGTTTTTGTTGTTGTTTTTGTTGTTGTTGTTTTTGTTGTTGTAGAAGAAAAACTTCCATTTATTTAAATATGTTTGTCAAGATATTTCCTTTCTAGGAAAATTAGCTGTACTCAGTCCTCCAGCTAAGTCCAGAGGAAGCTGTAAAGGCTCTGGCCTGCCAAGATAAGAAACCTGGGGAATACAGCATTCAGTAAAAGCTAAAGTGAGTAGACATCGTAGTAACTGGTGTGAAGGGGGCAGATATACTGCTTGGAATCTTATTATTTCTTCTTCTTAGTGTGGGTTTTGACTTTGCAAATGCTGTTCTAAAGTTATTTTGCTGAGATAAACATTAATGGCTTTTCTGCATACTGCCGTATTTTCAAAAATCAGATGAGGAATTGTTACTTGGATTGGGTCTCAGGCTGTTATTTGCTCAGAATTTTGAATTATTCATCACTGAAGTTAATATCTGGTTTCAGAACCCCAATCAGAAAGAGTCTGAGTGCAAGAAGGCTGGTTCTGGAGAATCAATTCACCCTGCTGTCTCTTGCTAGGAGACATGAGGAAGGACATGCATTTCTCTGTGCTCATCTACTCATGAAGTACCATTGCTTCAAAACTAGCACTCCTTCAATGAAATTAAAACAGAGGACACAGAGGCTCATGTGTGCTGGGTTTTGGCTTTAGTATCATACAGAGAGAAGAGGCATTCACCCAGGATGCAACTGATGAGGAAGCTAAATTTGTTCGGAAACAAGGTAGGCTCAGCTGCGAGTTGGCACAGAAGGGAGGGGTCCCACTGCAGCACCATAGTTGCCCTCCAGTTTGTAGAGGTGGCTTCAGCCCCAGAGTGGCTGCAGGCTAAGAAGGCATTGTCTTTGCTCTCCCTGTCAGAGTTTGCTCCTATGGGAACTCTGTGTTGAAAAGAAATGCTGTGCCTTACCAAGATTTCTTGATATAAATATGGAAAACACTGGTATAAATGACTCACCTTTCCTACATTTATAATATTAGATTATTTTGTATATAAAACCACAGTCACCATATTGGGAAGTATCAAGTTCTTACTTTTTCACCTTTTATGCAATGCACGAATTTTCTAAAGGAAAGTTACTTTCCCCATGAGCAGCTCCTGCTCCTCTCTCCAGTCCACATCTCTGATTAGAGGGGTTTACAGCTGTCCTCTCTACCTGCAAGGGCTAATCCTGGATAATTGGGAAGTTACTCACACAGGTTCTGTTATACTTCTCCCCCCCCCCCACTTAATTTGGTTTTGTTCTCTTTCTCTCTCTCTCTTCAATTTAAAAATGAAGTAAAGGCACAGTTTGCAGAACATGCTAAACCTGTGGAAGAATTGCTTTGGACAGCTGTATATGACTGTGACTTCTTGTGAAAAAAATCTGCCACAGTAAAGTCTGGAATAAGTACTCTGAAGGTCAGCTGTAGCTACTCTCATGTTTCATGTCATATACAAGGCAGTTGATTCCAGTCTCATAAATATACTCGTGGAAACAGACTTTGCATAGATTAAATCATATACGTTTTCATTAAGTTTCCTAAAAAGTGCAGCATTGCACATGTAAAAAACATGCTCTGAAACTAGCCATGAAAAACAGCCACAACTGAGAATGTGGGACTGGAATCTGTGCAGCAAAGCACTAGTGTACATCTTTTGTGGCATTTTTTTACTTACCAAGCACTCTCAGCTTGGAAAGATTTTGTTTGTCTGTGTTAAATTTTCTACCTGGATTTAAGTTTTCATGTTCACAATTTTATTCATTTCCATTTGAAAATGATTTATATTCAAAACAGTACTTTACTATAAATGTCTTAATTTCCAGAAGAATTCTAAGTGGAAAAAATATTGGAAGGTTTCAGGTCAAGGGCATCATATACAGCTAACCTGGTAACACAATGGTGATAAAATACAGCTTGCTCCAAAATACTATAATGGCAAGTGAGAGAAAGGATCTGCTGACTCTTTACATTTCTTTCTTTACCTTTCTTTCTTTGCCTTATAGACTCTCTACCTTTCTTTGAAAAACCAAAGAAACACTGTAAATACTGTTTGGCATTTGCTTTTTACCTCTTTTTTGTCCAACAGCCATGTCTGTACCAAAGTCTCTATGCTTACATGAGTCTTCGAGATACTGTCTCTTTACAAATAATTTCTGTAACCTCACAGATGACTGAAAATTAATTGAAATCAAATGCTGGTTTGCAAGCTCATATCCACTGTCTCTGAGATCCTCTTCCTTTCTTCATCAATAGTTCATTTTTCTTTAAAATCCCTTCTGTACACCCAATAACAGTTTATTGACTAATAGGCAGCTGGGTGATCAAGAGCTGAAATGCTGTCTTGCCAAAATATACACACATTTACCTGCAAT